CCCCCCGCGCAGCCCCACCAGCCGCAGCCGGAGCCTGCTTGGTTTGAGCCGGAGGAGGAGCCGAGTCTCCACTCCAGCTGACGCGAACGCACGCTGCAAGTTAAGGTTTAGTTTGCTCCTCCTCCAGCGGTGGAGCCAGCTGCTTCTCTCTGCTCCACACCGTCCTGCCTGCTCCGTGCGGCTGCGGCTCCCGCTCTGCCACACAAAAGCCGTGTCCCAGACCAGGCTCAGAGGAAGCAGAATTTGGGGGCAGGGAGAAAGGGGGAAGACTTGCTGGAAATCTTGAACGCACGCTGCAAGTTAAGGTTTAGTTTGCTCCTCCTCCAGCGGTGGAGCCAGCTGCTTCTCTCTGCTCCACACCGTCCTGCCTGCTCCGTGCGGCTGCGGCTCCCGCTCTGCCACACAAAAGCCGTGTCCCAGACCAGGCTCAGAGGAAGCAGAATTTGGGGGCAGGGAGAAAGGGGGAAGACTTGCTGGAAATCTTGCTGCCAATACGAAACACACTAGATGTGAATTAAGAACACGGAGAAATTGAGAAATTTAATAAAAGTTCCCATAATTAAATACAACTCTTAATCATAATAGTGGCATCAGCACAAGCCTCTGCTGTGAAGGATGGTATTAAGAATCCTAATGACTGAGTACATTTCTGCCGTTCTGCTTCTCTCTGTGCAGGCTTAAAGCAGGTTTAACTCTCTTAATCCAAAACAGCCTCTGAGCATCTCTTCAGTATTTCAATTTCAAGCTCTGCCTGTCTCTCAGGACTTGCTACCACTAATGAGCATTAAAATGCATCTATCACAGGCCTCTATTAGCTCAAAATGCTAATCCAGTCTTTTTTTTTTCAGACAGAGATAAAGCAGGCAACCCAAAATACAATTTGATTGTTTGCCAAGGGGTGAGGCTTAGAGTGGGGAAAAAACCACTCCCACCAAGCTATTCTCGCTGTACAGCCCAGTGTGACAGCATTCACTGCTGGAAACCACAGTTCTCCATTGATTTTATGACAAAGGAAACCTACAGCATAAACCTGAACAGCCAGATGTGTGAGTACAGATCGTCTTCCCCTGCTTTCTTAATTCCTGCAGCTCTCGGCCCGTTCCAGCACCTCCGCTCTCTCGGGGAGCTGCGCCAACCGCGACGGTTTGACCGTCTTGCTTCAGAACCTGAGCTCAGGCGGGGACCAGGGGATCGAGCCTCGCCAACGCAGCAGCTTGGGAAAGGAACGGCAGCGTCATTCCTACCTCGGTCCTGGGTTTTCCCTCAGTCCAGCTCACGAGCACCAAGAGCTGCATTGCCCTCACTCACAAAAGCAAACATTGGAGCCGCATTGTTCCCCCCCCACCCCTCTTAAAAGAGACCCTGCAAGAAACACACGTTAAGTTCCCACCAGCAGAAATAGCAAGAGCATTGGTTGTAAATAGGCACCACCTACCTAAGGCTTCTCACTGCTCAGCCTGACCATAAGAGTGTAAACAAAGTATTGGCGCGTAGCCTGAAGGGTCTTGAGCATAGGAACCCAGCCCTAGTAAGAAATGAGGAGACCAGGGTGACGAACCCCAAGAGAGCCCTGTACAGAGATCATTTTGCAGGGGGAGGGAGACACACCCACGTTAGCCTTTAATTCACTGGTGGTTACATTCATCCCAGCCGTAAACACAGCAGCAGCACTGAAGATGCTGTCACGCCAGGACAAATCTTACAATGCCACCACGATCAGATAGCTCAGTGCCTCTTTAAAGCCCATCAGCTTTATGCATTTATGCAAATACATGCACATCAGCTACACTGCCTATTGTACAGCAATGCCGCTAATTTGCAATCATGAAGGGCTGAAGCTCTTTAAAAAAAAGTTTAAAAGATTTTACACACAGCTTTACGAACAGGTGGACGATTCTGCAGCGCTGCAGCACGTGACACACCTCTGTTCCTGGTAGCACTCGCACTCCTCACAGCTTTCAGGCTAGAAAAGTACTCCTGAGGCGAGACTCACCGCAGTTGTGGTTTAAACAACCAACCTTCTCAGCCTTTTTCCTCCAAATGCAGTTATTCCACACCTCCTCCTCCCTCCTCCCTTCCTCCCCAGCGCTCTTAAGAGACTACCTAAGAACACCTGAAATATTTCCCTGGCAAAGGGGCTTCCTAGAACATCAAAGAGGCAAATGGTACCAGCACATCCCAAATAGTGGAACCACCCCCCTCCCCAGTTTTTTCACAATGTTGGAAAACATTCTTCCTAAAGTTCTAACACATCCCAAATACCGGCTCCCCACTGAACAGAAATGATTGTGCACAGATTTATGCTTTATTTAGTAGGGTCCACCCCCCTTCAAAAAAGCATCTGCAAAGAGACAAGTTCTCTCAAGACAAGAAAAACTTCCTCTTGAGTCACCAGGGCAAAGCTGACTATGAAAGCAACTGGGTTTGTAACAAACAAATTGAAAACCACTTCAAATTCATGAGCATGAGAACACATGCTTGCTTGATAAACACATCTGAAAAGCTAATCTTCCTTCAGAGTCTGCTTTACATTTTTGGAACTTGGGATGGTATATATTTAAATAAGTTTACAAACTGTTCACTTCCTCAGAGTGTCTGCAGACACTTCAAACGAAGCGGCGGGCACTAAGGCACATGGAGAACCTGTTCAGGCAAGGAACAGTCTTAACCCACGGGCCTACTGCATGCAAAAAAAGTTCACTTCACAAGTAAAAACGACCAATTACAAGCCCTTAATAAAAAAACAACCGACCCAGCAGCATGCCACGAACAGCTCCTTGAAGAACACTGCTCAAACCCAGGGCTGAACGGAAGAGCCGCATGAGAGCTCCTTCTCAGCTTTCGTAGGGAAAAGCATAAATTTGATTTAGAAGCAAACACCTGTCTAGTAATTTTTTATTTTTCATTTTTCTCCATTGCTGTCTGCTTGGCTTAAAACTTGTCTATGGGCTATCTGAAAGCGTTACCTATAGAGCATAATTAAGCTTTACACACTTCTGACAGAACTTTAACTTGAGAGGAAAGGAACGAAGGGGAAGGGAGGAAAAGGCAGGCAGCTTGGACTCTTACACCCCGTGCTGCTTGCCTCCTGACACCACTCTTACTCCTCAAGTCTACTCTCCAATCCGATCAAAGTCAGTTACATGAAGAAGTTGACTATGAGCTCTGTGAAGCTCTTGGAGGAAAAAAAAAAAAAGCTTTTAACTACAGATTCACAGAGAGTGCAAATCAGTAACTCAGCCTACCAGTGCCCAAGTCTCTGAAGATGACTTCTCAGCTCACAAGTGATGTTTTAGAGCTGACCGAGAAAATACCCTTTGGCTAGAACCCTGCACGACTTAAGCATCACTTGAGAGCCGGTCCCGTCCTGGAGAGAAGAGCCTCGGGTGCCCACAAACTGCTTCTAGACACTGACTTTCTACCCAAGTATAAAAGGAAAGCAGGAAGGGGAGAAAGGTCAAGCTGAGTTTATGTTATATGCAGTTACTTACCAAACTGACTGTAAGGGAATTCTGGCTGAGCAGTTGGGGGTTTGCTCATATCCTGAGTTGCCTGAGATGGTGGTGGTGGTGGTGGAAAAGCGAGTGGTGCTGCCCCTGGAGTGGCAGGTGGAGGGGGAACTCCAGGTGGGGCAAACTGGTCAGGTGGAGGAGGTGGAGCACCATAACCAAAACCTAGAACACAAGAGAAGCACAACACACGTGAAAAGACACGGGCACACAGCACCCTGACCTCCTGCTTGGCTTCAGAGTACAACACCGTGGGTTTTTAAAAAAAAAATACTTACAAGTCTATTAAAAGTCAAGTGCTTGTTTCCTACGGCTGGGTATAGCACAACCCCCTCCTACGCTCCTGCAACCACTGTAGCTAAAAGGCCCAACAAAACCTGCCACCGTGAAAAATCTCCCCTCAGGGAAGTCTGCAGCCACATCAGCAACCAGCCCAGAGAAAGCAATGAAGCAGAACCGGGGACCAAACCCTGTGCGCGCACATGACAGACATGGGGAGGAAGACGTATTATTGAAGGTCTTAAGAGGAAAAGGAGACATCCCAAACAAACGGCTTCTTCAGAGCAGAACAAGCAACTCTAGATGACTGGGTGGTATTTTCCACCTTCTTTTTTAAACCAGGTTTGTGACTAGGCTTTTCGAAAGGTGGCCCGAGGGGTAGGTGCTCAAATCCTATTTACATCCAATCAAGTCGCAACCATAATTCCTTAAGCTTCTCTGACGGTCCCAGCCTGTGTCTGACCCAGGTCACCACGTGCTAATCTCAACTTTTCCCTCAGACGGGGTACACAGTAAATCTAAAATTTTCAGCAACACCAATTTAAACTAGACAACACGCACAGAGTACACAATCTAGGCAAAACATCTATGGATAGACGAAACGTGGGGGAAAGAAAAAAAAGTCAAGTCCAGAGAAAGACGAGCAAAAGCCAGAATCCGCCAGTGGTGATGGACTGTGACTCCCGCGGGTCACTTACTAAATGGTGGAGGGGTGCCATAGCCCTGCGGAAATCCTTGTGGGGGCGGGAATCCTCCAGGAGGTGTAGAGACTATGTATGAGGTAAAGGGCGGCGGCGGTGGAGGAGCTCCTCTTCCTGGAGGAGGTGGTCCATATCCACCTAGAAAAGCACGAGAAACCACGAACTGAAGCGGTTTAAGAACGAGAAGTTGCTGCTTAAGTCAGCATCCTCTGGGTGGGGTGAGGCCGTTTGACAGATTTCAACAGTCTCAGCCTTCTATGAATTCATACTTCGGGAAATATTTGTTCTCCAAGTATCCCTACTGTAAATAATTGCAGTGTAGAATGTAATTCCTTGATAACAAATTAGTGTGGTTGGCAAGAGCAGGATGTATGTCAGCTCCCATTACTGAGTTGTTAAGAATACGTTGTCTTCTCCTTCGTTCTTTCAGGACAAATTCAATCAAAGCTTTTAAATGTAGGTTAAATACTACAGAAATCCACAAATCACTGTGAATTCTTAAGAGAAACTGCACCCTCACTCAGTAGGATTTTTCTTTTTAAATTGGTGCCATATAACATACTTACCAATTGCCTGTCCAGCTGGCACCCACATCCCTAAAACAGAACAAAAAAAGTGACTTATAGACATGAAACAGGAACAAATTGAAAGGAAGTTGATCTCGCTCCGGGCCCTGGAGGAGACTGGGCAGCCTCCAGTGCGCCCTTACAGATCTATTTCTCAAGAAACAGTCTTGGACTACCTCTGAATACGCAATTCCAAAAAGACTCTGAATCATTTAGCAAATAATGCACAGAAGAGACAGCAGTCCCCAGACTCAAATGAGATGCAGCGTTCCAGAGCTGCGAGCGTACCGAGTGCAGGAAACTATACCAGTACGAGAACAAACCCCCTGAGAATCACAGCAGATTACACAGCCAAAGCATTTTTAATACGCTCCCAGGTTTAGCCTGGTTATTTTTGATGTTTTGGAACCACAAAAACATCATCTTCTGCATTCGCTGCAGCATTACGATTGAAAGATAAACGCATTTATGTTTTACATTAATCTGTCCAGTAGATCAGATATCGTTTTCTCTACAAATAACCACACGGAAGATAATCTAGTTTCTCAATTTGCGCAGTTGCAGATTAGCACATCTGTGCAGAATGTCAAAGCCTCAGCTGCAGCTTTCAAGTTAATAAGCACCACGGGGAAACAAGCAATCCCTCCACCGAGGGACCATCTATTGCAGCAATAGATGAAGCAGCGACACTCCCCTTGGCCCCCCAGGTGAAAATTTCTCATCTATCAGAGCAAGCAAGTTCTGTTCTGTCAAACGCAACTCAATTATGCGACCACGTTTCTCCCCCAAGTTAACAAAACTGTCTTTGGGTGAACTCAGCACATATATCCCGTCTTCAAAATCTTGCGGGGGTTACAGCCATCAAACCCAAAACACACAGCTGCTCCTTTCAGCCCTGAAGGGTTCAAGCTAAATCAAGAAAATGATATGCAGTAAGTGCTCCTCTGCACCGCTGCCAGCCCCATAGCTGCTTGTTATTTTTCCAGGCTACATTAAGCAATAAAATCCAAAGACAAGACCATCTGTTTTTCTCTCATCCCTTTCATATTTTACTTCTAACTTCCTCCAAACCTGTCTCATCCTTGAAAAGCCGCATTTCAGCTGAAGTTTTTATCAGCATCCCACGCAGGGCACAATCCCACAGCCGGAATCACAACGCGAGCTGCTGAGCTGTCTCGACGCCTTCTCCACGTCCCCGAAACCCACACCAGCGACTCCTCGTGGGGAGAGGCAGAGCCAAAGCCAAGAGGCGAGGCGCTGCCTGGACACCCGCTCAGCTCGGCGCAGCCCGCTGAAACCGCATTTTTCGGGGAAAGAATCGAGCAACAATCTCGGCAGACTGGGGAAGGCCTGATGCGTCCTAGCCGTGCCGTCAGCCACCCAGCGGAGCGACCGATTAACCCGGGAATACCGTCCTCTGCCACAAAGCCAGCCGAGCAGCG